CCCTTTCCGGAATGTTCTCCCACTCCCCGAGATCTGACTCCAGGAGTGAGGGCCTGGCTTATCGTCAGGAAACCGCTGACCTGACTCTGGACAACTTTCCCTCCGTCTCTCTGGCTGCCGTATTGTGTCCACTCCTGCTGTCCCCACAATTTACCGGTGCTCCTTCTCAGCCCCCACGAGGCCCTCACTCAGTGATGGAATCGTCACAGGCCCCCCGAGGACACGGGGTCTGACGGCAGACACGACACAGCCCCTGTGGGGTGTGCACCTGGGGCCCCCGGTTCCCTGGGAGAGGCTGTGAAGGGTCAGCAGTAAGCTTGCAGCCTGGATTTCTCCCGACCAGCCCTCCCGGCCGCCGGCTGGGTCCCGCCCCCAGATCCTACTGGGACAACGTCCCGACACAGAATCGTTGGGATGTGGGTTCCAGGACAGGAGAGGGTTGCACGGGGGCCTCTTGGGTGTGGGGTTCAGCCTTGGGCTCCTCCCCCGGGCCTGCACTGGGGCCCGGCTGACCAGCCCTGGCTGAGACGCCATGTACCTGAGGGAGAGGAGACCCCCTAGGCCCCCAGACCTGAGCAATGATGCCCCTCCCTGCACACGGACCGGATGATGCTTACCCGTTCATCCCCCAATAGGGACCCCAAGAGTTCTTCACGATCCAGTAGGGTATCCCATTTTGTTCTCCATAACCAACAGCCAGGACCGCGTGGTTGACTTTATCCGGAGTTTTATGACAAGAAGTGCTGGAAATGGAAAATAAAAAAGGTTTGAACACACAGGAAGGAAGAATGCATTGGGACGGCTCAGCCCCGTCCGACAAGGGTCCTCTGAGGCTCCGAAGCAGCGTTTCCCAGAGCGGGGAATCTGCTCTGCTCCCTTGGTGCAAGACCCCGTCCTCAGGAAGCTGTGTCTGGCGGGGAGCCGACCCAAGGAGGGGGTCAGCCCAGTGGGGGTGGGGGTCCCTGGGAAGGCCCCTCAGTGTGGCTGCGGTGGGCAGTGGGCCCAGATCACCAGGGTCCCCCAGCCCAGCTGACCCTGAACCCTGTGGGGCGGGGGGACACTGGCGCCACTGAGGCTGGTGCACCCAGGGAGCGCTCCAGGAGGTGGATCCTGGCCGCGTAGGGGACAGACTGGTGGGGGCTGCACAAGGACACACGGGTGAGCGTGCATTTCTGGGCGGCAGGGTCTCGGGCAGCGCGGGGACGGGGAGGACACGTGCTGGATCTGAGGTCTCCGCGGCCACGGCTCGAGAGGGCAGGACGGCTGTGGGACTTGGGCCTGCTCACGATGCAGGGCAGGCGAGTGTCCGGGGGCAAGGGTGAGGAGAGCCTGTTCCAGAACAGCTCGGTGGGGAAGCCCCCATTCCCGGATCCTGAGAGCAGCTCCTTCGTCCTCCCACTCGGAACTGGGTTTTCGGAACTGGAGGCCGCTGCTGCCCTCGGGCTGGGTCTGCCCTCCCGAGGGCCGCAGGGTCAATGCGGGGTGTGTGGAGGGCCAGCCCTGCCTGCCACGGGGACACCGCCTGGCCCCTGTCCCTGCGGGGACCCCGGCTCACCTGGAGTAGACACCTTTCCTGTACATCATGAAGTCACTGGTGACCTCGAAGGCGAAGCTCACAGGGTTGTACAGGGCCACGGCTTCTACCATCGCCTCCTCGTCATTCTGTGGACACACAGTATCTGTCGCCTCTCTGCCCCCCTTCCCAAATACAGCCCTTTGCCCCGAGGCAGGGATGGGCGCCTGGGGTGGTGCGGGTGTCCGGAAGGAAGGAAGAGAAGGCTGTCAGGCCAAACAGCCACCGAGGGGAGGCTGCCCCCTCCTCACAGCAGATGCCGGGGCTGTGTGGAACGGCCAGGCTCCTCTGGGTCTCTTATTTGGCTCATGGGTCCCTCCTCCGAAACCCTGGCTCCCCCGTGAGCTCCCCCACTTGGCTGGTCTGGTCTGTGGGCCCTGTCTTCCCAGGGACACCCCACCATACGGTAGCGGCTGTGGGTGCAGGCTCACTGGGTCCCTCACGCCCATTCGCGGTGGCCCCCCTCCAGTCCCCCTGGGACTCCCCCTGCCCTGCCCCCGGCACCCCTGCCCCACAAAGCCAGCGAAGTCGACCACTCTGTCCCTCTGCCTGCGTCCTGGATGGAAGCCAGCCTCCAGGAGCGCGGCCGCGCCACGCCGACAGCCCCGCCCCATGGGAGACACAAACTCCACACTTGGGGGTTGTTTGCTGCCGCAGTGTAACCTGGCGCATCCCGACCCGATGGATTTGCGTTCAGTCTCTCACACGCTGACGTCACTCGCGCGGTCATGGCCTCCCCCGCGGGAAGGGGATTACTGCTTGCGTTTTACAAAGGAGAAAACAGACCAGACTGGAGCCCGGCCCAGACCCAGGTCAGAGCCCGAGTGCCTGATGCTTGTCCCACAGCCTGACCCCCCCTCCTGCAGACACCGAGACTGGGGCGCCACGATCATCAAGGCTTTCTAGTCTCAGGGATATGCCACCAGGACGGCCTGCTGTGCCCACTGCCCAGCCGACCGTGGTGGACTCTGGCCTCCTGGCGAGAACACCCTGCCCATCGGAGAGAAGGGTCGCTACTCACGATGGTGATGTTGGCCACATCCTTCACGAAAGCGATGGCCTTGCTGGGCTGGAACTTGCAGTCACCGTCCTGTTCAGGGCAGCAGAGGGTGTGGAGCTCGATTCAGGGGGGCCCGGCCCCAGGCTGAGACTTCAGACCTCCCCTGTGCCACCTGCTGGCGTCTGTGCAGCCGAAGCTCCGAGCGCAGGGGCTGGGCGGTGGGGTCACTCAAGTCGGGGGTCAGAGGCATCCCTGTCCTCAAGGAGCTCACAGGGGCGACCCGGCCCAGCACTGGCTCCCACGGAGGTGGGCTCGCGGAGCCTGGGGGACCTGGCGAGAACTGCAGGTGGGCAGGAGCCTGCCTGGCGGGGGCAGGGAGCACCAGTCCCGCGTGCACAGGTTCGCGGACACAAGGCAGGCCCAGCAGCAGGTCACAAGGGAAAGAGCGCGCACGCCCGAGACAGGGCAGAAGGTGGGGACCGCGAGAGGCACGGCGTGGTGTTTGGGAGCCAGCAAGCGGTTAGGCCGGAGCCTGAAGTTTACGAGGGGCCGCACGAGGCAGGTGAGTGGTCAGAGCGAGGTCTGGGAGACCACCTGGAGGCCCCGGGAGAGCTGGACGGAGCCAGGGTCATGGACAGACCGCAGGAGCGGTGTGGGGTCTCCGACAGCTGGCAGGCGGAACTCAAGTGAGGGTCTGGGGTGGTCAGCCCGCCAGTGGCCAGCAGGTTTTGGGAGGACTGGTGTTAGTCATCAGTGAGGGGAAACGCTGGTGGAGCCACAGAATTGGGGGGAAAGAGAGGGCTGTGGACGGGCCGGGGTGAGGCGGCAGCAGGCCCGGGGCAGAGCGGGTGCAGGTGCCGGAGAGCATGGTCAGCGTGAGAGTGACCGCACGGCCGGTGCTGACAGGCGGGAAGGGCAGAGGCGGCCGGCGCCCCGGTGACTCGGCGGGAGGGGACCCGGGAGAACGGGAACCCTGGGGGGTGGGGGGGTGGGGCTGCCAGAGACGGGCCGGAGGCCGCGGGTCTGGTGAGGGCGCTGGGCTCGGGCAAGCCGAGGAGGTGAAGGAATGAACTTGGCGAGTGTCCGTGATTCTGGCGGGAGGGGCCCTGCTGCAGCTCAAGGGGGAGACGGTGCTCCCCGAGGCTGAGGCGGACTGCGGGACGAGACCGGGATTACCTGGCCCTTGTAGGGGTAGCTGTCTTCACCCATGATGCCCTTGTTGTAGCGGATGTACTCGAAGGCCTGGCTGGGGAGGCCCCTGCAAGAAGCACACGCAGAGATGCCCATGTGCACCAGCCCAGGTGGCACCTGCAGAGCTGGAGGCCTTGACCGGGGGCCACGGCCCGGCGGCAGAAAAGCTCTCTGGGGTCCGGGAGGGGCTAGCGGAGCCGCCCCACCTGCCTGGCCCCAGGACCGCGCTCGACAGACTCGGGAGAGACGCCTGGAGTCCACAGACAGCTGCACGTGCATCAGGGACCCCGGGCCAGGCCCCTCGTCAGGACAGTGGAAGGGACCCGCCCAGCGCCAGGGATTGGCCACCACTGGGCCCCGACTGGCAGGCGCTCGACAAACTTGACTGCCGACCCCTCACACCTACCCTGTGGCGCCGATGCGGTCATTTCCTGGGGTTCAGAAAGGCTGAACAGCTTGCCCAGGACCCACGCACGGCCGTCCAGCCACAGCTCCCGGCACCCCCGGCCCTCCCGCTCCCCCTCCCCGGCACCCCCTGACCCATGGCACACTGTTTCCGGTCTCGCCTGCTAGAACGTCAGCCCCTCGCGCTGCACTGGCTACTGTACCCCCAGGGCCCAGCCAGGTGCTCACAGAGCTAGAGCACACAGACTCCCTTGATACGCGGGGTTGGCTCCCCGCTGAGCAGGTGGAGCCCGCCTAGGCCACGGGGGGGGAAGGGGGCCGGGCTGGACGCATGCCAGTGCCAGGACAGCTACCACGGACTCGAGGCACACGAGCAGATAAATCCCCGGCGACCATTCTAGGAAGGGGCCAGGAAAGCAGGTCCAGTAAACACACAGCCTTCAGGCCCGAGCACGTCACCTCATAGAGGGTCCCTCACAGCCGGCCAAGCTGGGCTGCTTGGAGCTCCCTCGGTGCGGGAAGGCCAGCCAGACCCATGTGGGGATCTGGCCGCTGGCCTTGGGGGCTAACGGAGCCACGTGCACGGTGGGGAGAGGGCTGGGGGACACTGTGGAGGTAGGGCCCCATTCTGGCCAAGGGACCCCAGGCATGTGAGGTGACCGTCCCGTTCGTGACAGTGCGTGGGGTGGGGCTGTGCTGGGCGGGACAGAAGCCATCGTGGGGAAGGAGGGGGGCTCCGGGCCCACGCGCGGTCAGGGCCGTACCCTTGGCAGCCGTGATTGTTGAAGTTCTGGGCGCAGTCCACTAGCTGCTGTTCTGCCTGCAGGAAGGCACGGGGTGCAGAGCGGGGCTGGACGCCGCCCAGGCCCGCTGCGGACCCTGCTCTCCCTCCCCTCGAGGCCCTCAACCGCCCTTGCCCCTCGCCCTGGGGTCAGCGGCTGGACACACAGGCCCTGGCCCTCCCTCGGGGAGGCCTGGGCAGGGCACAGCTCCTAGAGGCCTGCCCCCCCAGCTCCGCTCTCCAAAGGCCCCGGGTGCCAAACAAGGACCAGCAGGACCCACCGGGAAGAGCCCTGGGCTGCCTCCACAACAAGCCGCGTTTCTTTCTAGGAAAACGGGCGTCCGGTTTCGCAGGCCAAATGTCCATGAGGCTGGGGCGCCTGATGTCCAGGGAAACAGCACTCCCCCCGAAGCCCTAAAGGAGCCCGAGGGCCCCCCCGGCCCCCCGTCAGGCCTTGGGGCGAAGCTGTGACCTCGGGAGGTGACCCCCGCGGCAGACTGCTTACCAAAGACAGCAGCTTCCCACTTTTGATGGCGATGGCGGACTCCAGGGCCCCCGTGGTGGAGAAGGTCCAGCAGCTGCCGCAGCCGCCCTACAGAAGCCGGGGTTGGGGGTCGGTCACGGGGACCCCAGGACGCAGGCCCGGGAGAACCCCCAGGCTCCCATCCATGCTGAGCCTTGCGGGCCCTGTGTGGCCAGGGTCCTCCACGTCGCCGCTGAGGTGACCAGCCTCACCAGCGCCCGCCCAGTCCCGGCCCCTCGCAGACCAAGCCCACCGGCCATTCTGTGTGTTGCTGGCTTTCCCTCTGCGTCTGGATCTTATCCCGGCTCCTCTTCTCCCCAGAGTTTCTCAGAAGGACTCACTCAAGTCTTGTTTCCAGAACCTTCTCTGCCACCGGCCCCCCCCAACCTCATTCCACCCACAGTCCTCCCACTTAAACTAGCAACTCCTCAAGCCTGGCACCAGCCCTGACCTCCATCCAGGCCCAGACACCTGCCTCTGCTGGGCTCACCCCACCTCCTGCCACAGTCACGGGCCAGGCTCTGGACGCGAGGGTCGGGCGCCGGAGCCTGCCTGCCTGCCCGGCTCCAGTCCCGGCTCTGCCACGTGCCCACTGTGCGAGCCAGGGGGTCACTTCCCACCGCTCAACCTCCGCTCCATCATCTGGAAAATGGGGCCTCGTGCCTGACTCCCAGGGCCATCAGAGGCGCAGATGTGGTCCTGCCAGCTCATCTGTCTCTTCCCCAACGGTTCTGCCCTCCGAATCCCTCTCACCACCCACCCCCTTCCCTGCCCTCAGGTCAGTCCTCTCGGCTTGCTGGCCTCCCTCCTGGTCTCTGTCCCACATCCTTCCGTCGGTACAGGGACAACCCTGTGTGAGCGTCTCTGGCCGGTCAAGGCTTGGGCCTGGCCCGGCTGAAGGCGGCAGAGCAGGCCGAGCCGTGGGCGCTGGACTGGGAGCAGAGACCTGCTCTGGAGTGGCCTGTGTCCCCCGTCTACCTGGCCGCCGGGCCAGCCCCTCGTCCTCGTTTGCTCCTCTGTGAAGTGGGAAGCCCTCGAGGGGCGGCCGAGCTAACGTTAGATCCTGCTGCTGCGTCTACATCACACGGTGGCCACGGTGAGATGCCATGAGCCTATGGGTGACCGCCTCCGTCCAGCCCCCACACCCAGGTGGCCCAGTCTGCCTGACGGACGTCCCTGCCTACCTGCCCAACAGTGAGCATGTTCAGGCTTCCACACTGAAAACCCGCTGCTTTAAACTGTCATGGGATTCTTGGGGCGCCTGGCTGGCTTGGTCGACTAGGTGGCCGACTCATGGTTTCAGCTCAGGTCATGATCTCAGGGTCGTGACATCGGGCCCTGCACTCAGCAGGAGTCTGCTTGGGATTCTCTCTCTCTCAAATAAATAAAATCTTTTTTTTTTTTTTAAGATTTTATTTATTTATTTGACAGACAGAGACAGCGAGAGAGGGAACACAAGCAGTGGTAGAGGGAGAAGCAGGTTCCCACGGAGCAGGGAGCCTGATGTGGGGCTCAATCCCGGGACCGTGGGATCATGACCTGAGCCGAAGGCAGAGGCTTAACGACTGAGCCACCCAGGTGCCCCAATAAATAAAATCTTTAAAAAAAACCCCAACTGTCCTGGGATTCTTAGATGATCTAAAAACTGCGTCTGGGTGGTAGGGGAGAGCGCGGCTTTGTTCTGCCCCTGGTGCTGGGAGGGGAGTCACTCTGGCTCCCGGGTGCTGGGGTAAGTGTCCAGATCTCTCGCAGGCTCCGGGAACCCCGAGCCTGGGAGGAAAGGACGTGCCCCCGGCTTGAAGGACAAGGAGAACACGTTTCTCAGGGGGACTTTCAGTGGGAAGGCCAGTGTCTCCAGGAGGGTAACTTTCCCCCCATTTTCTGGAGGTAAGAGGGTGACATCCTTCTGGAGGGAGGGACACAGTGGGCAGAGGGCACAGCAGGGGCGGGCTCAGACTCTCCGGCACAGAGCCAGCCACCCGGTCCGCAGCCCTGTGGGTGCAGAACGCGGGACACACACTGTTCCCCGCGGCCAGAGTGCGTCCGGAGCCTGGCATCACTGCCCACTGAGCTCCCGCCACCACCCGGAGGAAAGCGGCTGGGCCGGGCCCTGCAGAGCAGGGGCCCCGCTGTCCCATCTCTCAGGGCATAGGGAATGTGAGGTTTCGGGCGACTCTGGGGCCTGGGCCAGTGGGAACTCCGGGCAGGGGTGCAGGTGAGCTGCCGTCCAATAAAGAGGGACCATTTCTTCCTCCAGAGCAGCCACGGACCTCATAACCTCCCAGCCTTTCAGAGGGACGCAGCTGGAGGGAGGAGGAGGAAAAGCAGACTTGGGGATACACCTGCCACCGTTCAGGGCTCCTTCTGAGTTTCTCTTCCTGGTGTATTGTCTGTGAATGAGGCTATTTTACGGACAAAGGGTGGGGGTGGCTGCCCATACCTGATTTTTCACTGGTGACACAAACTTCCCTTTTTTCCTCCAGTCCACAAAGGGCGGGTAGGGACCAGTCCCTCGAAGGTAGTTACCTTTGGTGGCTGAGCAATTCTGGAAGGACCAAATACAATTCTTTCAGGAGAACAAAAAACCTTTTTGATAGAAAAGTGTGCAATTAAAACAGAATCACCAAGAGAGCACGAGAAAGACTATCTCTGTAAGAACCGTCCTGCCCCCACTTGCTGGGTCCAAATGCTGGATGACCTGTCCCCCTGGGAGCACCGGGGGAGGGGCGGGGGACGGCGAGGATCCGGGAGCCAGATTTAACAAATAAAAACACAGTTCACATAGTTCAATTTTAACTTCATATAAACGAGGAGTAACTATAGCGTAAGTATGTCCTGCCCAGTATTTATGGTGGATTTACCCTGAAAGGCTAGGTGCTATTTACCTGAAATTCAGTTTTATTTTTGAAATTGTTTTAACTGCGCATCTGTGCTTCCTCTGGCAGCCCTAAGTTCAGGGCCCACGTGGCTGAGGCCAGGGGCGTGGACTGAGGAACTGCTGGGGGCCGCCTGACTCCCCAGGAACCTGGGGCCCCCTGAAGCTGGGTGGGGAGCAGTCTGGCTGGGAGCTGAGCCGGACTCTGAACTTATTCCAAAGGTGCGAGTGGGAAGAGTCAGATTTGGTCACAAGGAACGACACCTACCTGAGGCTCCGACCAAAGATACTTGCGTTTTATTTCAGCAAAGCTCATGTCCGAAAACTGGTTCAGCCCCACTGAAAAAGAGAAGGAAAAACAAAAACAAAAAAAACCCAAAGAAAAAAGAGACGCTCAATAAGACAGTCATAAAGAAAGAGAAAAAAACCAAGAAACCCCAAGTTAACCTGGGTCCTATTTCTAGCTGCAGCAACTGGCTTCTTTTTAGGTTTTAAATGTAATTTAACTGAGTATACCAAGGTCAACGTTCTCTGGGCTTCAGAGCTACACGTGTCTGGGCTGCATGGTGGGGTTGTGGGTGCAGGTAGCGTGTGGTGGGGCCCGGGCACCCAGCGTGTAGACCCCCCGGAGAGTCCGGTGGGCGTCCCACGAGGAGCATCGACACCTGCCCAGGTGCATTCCCACCTGCACCCCCTCCGGCCCCCACATTGTCCCGGGGCGGGGAGTGTTCGCATCTCCCCATGACAGCCGGGGAGGACGTGCGACGCTCGTCGGCCTCCCCACGGCCCCACAGAGTGCTGGGCGCAAATGAGATTCAAGCACCGCTTCCCCCATCTTATGCCTGCTGCCCACATTCACAACGTGGCTGACGCTGCGTGTGTGTCCGAGGGCAGAGCCCGTTTCTGCCACCCAGCCGGCCAAGGGCAGGGCTCGGCGTCCGGGACAGACCCTGGGCTGGCAGGAACGGGCAGGGCTTGTGCAGGGTCTCCCGTAAACTCCGCGACCACCCAGCCGGCCACCGGCACCGAGCTTCACTGAATCTCCGAGAATAACGGCAGAGCCAGAACCTGAGGTCGGCTCGGTACGGCTTCGGGCCCTGCGCTCTGACCATCCCTCCACCCTAAGTCCCCGGTGGGCCTGCAGTCAGCACTGGTTCCTGAGACGCGGCCGCGAGGAGCCTGGAGGAAGGGCAAGCCCACAGTACTTTTAAATGTGTGGTTCCCAGCGTTGTGGGCATTTATCTTCCTCCGGTTGCCGACAAACGTCTGCAGCCTGTGGTGGTATTCCTCTGAGCTGTATTTCTTTTGGTGCTAAAACAAAACACATCAGCGGTAAGTCACGGAAGCAAGATGCAGCTCACCAGAAGGAGACAGCCTGTTTTCTAAGAGGAGGGACGGAGGTCTTCCTTCCAGCACGGTTCTGGAGCCAAAGCCGCGTTAGGAGGCAGGACACTGTTGCGGTCTCAGCTGTGAAAGTCAGGAGGTCACAAAGCACACGCCGGGCCTCCGGGGACCTGAGGCCAGCCCGAAGCCTCGCAGCTGCCCGAAATCAGCCGGCATCCCACAGGCCCTGGTGAAGAGACACGCCAAGTGCAGGCCCTCCACGGACGCCACGGCGGGGGCTGGCTCCCGCCTCTGGCAAAAATCACCCTTTTGCAAAAGCATGTGCAGTAGAGTTCTCCAATTAATTTTGCGGCCAACACGCAATGTCCCTGAACACAAAATACGGACGCGGGTCCCAAGGCTGGAAGGCCGCCAGCCACCTTCACCACTGGGGACAACTGTCTGGAAGGCGTGGACCTAACCGGATCTTTCCCACTTTGGCCAATTCCCAGTCCCGAAAGACCCAGGGGTGTGGGCTGGGAAAAGCCTTCCCCATTGTCTCCAATCTGGCACAGTCGGGTCAGGTAACAGGCGACAGAGGAATGAAAAGCTTCAGGAAGAAGCTGAGCACTGACCTGCACCATCCATGACTTGAAGTGAACTTTCTCTGTAAAAAGAAAAAAAAGAAAGAAAGAAATGAGGCCAGGGCGCCTGGCCAGGAAGTGGAACCTTTGGCCAAACAGGGCACTTGGGAGCCGATTTGCATTTCAGGAAACTAGGTGACACTGAAGGCACCAAAAATGGTGTGCAGAATGCAGAAGTCCAGCTCGTCCCGCAGGGGTGGCGGCAACTAAGGTAACTCCCGACAGTCAGGACAGGGGATGTCCCCAGGGCAGGCGTCTGCACCTGCTTCTGCTCATACAACGGCGCGTGGATTGTGGAAATTCACTGAAACGTGAGTTAACGACTTGTGTACTTTACTGTATGATATATTTCAACACGCAGTTAGTTAAAAAACCTATACCCCGAGGGTCAGCATATTTTTTCTTCAAGGGACAGCTAACAAGTACCCTGGACTTCGCCGTGTCCGGTGCCCTCTGCCCCAGCAGACTTGGGGCACAGAAGCAGGCTGGCCTGCTATTTGTGGAAGGACCCCCCCCCCGGTTACCCGCCCTTGTGTGTGTCTGAGTTACCTAAAATTTCATCCTGAATTTAAACAACCACAAAGAATGTATTCCAGCTTATTGGAAATACTGTCATTTTAATTTTTAAAAAAATTTTAAGTAGGCTCCATGCCCACCATGGGGCTTGAACTCACGATCCTGAGATTAGTAAGAGTCGCACGTTCTACGGAGTGAGCCAGTCAGGCGCCCCCCCAAATATTGTCATTTTATTTTATTTTATTTATTTTTTTTTTTTAAAGATTTTATTCATTTATTTGAGAGACAGAGAGAGAGCGAGCACATGAGATGGGGGAGGGTCAGAGGGAGAAGCAGACTCCCTGCTGAGCAGGGAGCCCGATGCGGGACTCGATCCCGGGACTCCAGGATCATGACCTGAGCCGAAGGCAGTTGCTTAACCAACTGAGCCACCTGGACGCCCCCCAAATATTGTCATTTTAAAATAAGACTGCCACATCCTTCTTTTAAAGCTAGCTGAGGGAATCTGCGTACCATCTGATTTGACGCCCGCCGTCAGTAAGACGCACATAAGGAAGCGTAGGTTTACACTGGATGCCCTACCATCCTTGGATGCAGCCACAAGGACAAAAAGTATACACTGAAATTACTTTTGCTTCCTGTGACTCACACATCTCTGAACATTATATGAATTTATTCTGAATTGAATACTCCTCGTCAACACCCCAACTGATTAAAATATTTCAGATATACATTATGAAAAGTAATTGTCAAACATAAAAAGTAAACTTGTATCAGAAATGCATCACTTGGGGCGCCTGGGGGGCTCTGTCGGTTAAGGGTCTGACTCTCGGTTTTGGCTCAGGTCCTGATCTCAGGGTCGTGGGATCAAGGTCCACGTGAGACTCTCTGCTCAGCGTGGAGTCGGCTTGGGATTCTCTCTCCCTCTGCCTCTGCCCGCCCTCCCCTCCATGCTCTCCCTCTAAAATAAATAAATAAATCTTTTAAAAAAGAAAAAAGAAGGGGCGCCTGGGTGGCTCAGTCGTCAAGCGTCTGCCTTCAGCTCAGGTCAAGGTCCGAGGGTCCTGGGATCGAGCCCCGCATCGGGCTCCCTGCTCCGCAGGAAGCCTGCTTCTCCCTCTCCCACTCCCCCTGCTTGTGTTCCCTCTCTCGCTGTGTCTCTCTCTGTCAAATAAAAAATAAAATCTTTAAAAAAAAAAGAGAGAGAAAAGGAATGCATCTCTTAATGAGATCAACAGGACTTTACTAACTAAACCCCCCTCATGGACTTATAAATTCATGGGTGAATATTTCCTTTTTATTTTTTTTAATGGGTCAACATTAATTCTGGTCTTCGTTTTGTTTTGTTTTTTTTTTTAGATTTTATTTGAGAGAGAGAGAGAGCACAAGTGAGCATGCATGTACGAGCGGGGTGGTGGGGAGAGGAGAGGCAGAAGGAGAAGCAGGCTTCCCGCAGAGCAAGGAGCCCGATGCGGGGCTCGATCCCAGGACCCTGGGATCATGACCTGAGCTGAAGGCAGACACTCAGCTGACTCAACCACCCAGACGCCCCTGGTCTTTGTTTTTTAATAGGTCAAAAGACTCAGAAATCCTGCTAAATAAGCAAATCCCTAATTATTTATTGCTTCCGGGAAGAGAAGGCAATTTTTAGAGCAAGGTTTCTCCATTCCTACGCCTCAATCACATGACGCTCTAAGACCCCATCAGCTGATACCTCGGTGAGGTCCTCTCTTCTTCAATTTCAGTTTCCATGAAGAACCAACAACAGTTTTGAAGAAGATTTGTTACCGTCTGTCTCTTGCTGCTCCTGATGTGTTTAGAACCACAAATTCAGATTCAGGAGGAATGAGAGGCACAGATTGGTTTTGGCAAAGAGGATGTTTGCAAAGGGGCTGGACACGGATCCCCTCTCCGTGCCCACAGTCACTTGGAATTTCTTTGTGTTTCTCCAGGGACTCCCCCCACTCCCCAGGCTGGAGATCATGCTGCTCAGCATTCTGATTTCCCTTTGTGGGGCACACACCTATCCTAGGAACCAAGCTACAGCCATTTTCCCTGGGGAAGAAATGCCCGTTTCCCCAGGACAATCCTGCGAAGACTGTAGGATCCCCAATCCTGGTTACAGGGCCCTGCTGCAGTGGGATGGCTTCAGAGGAAGACAGACCTCAACCCAGCAGGATTTCAGGCAGGATAGAGTTCAGGACAACCCACTAGCCTTCACCTCTGGGATATTTCAAAAGCGACATGCAGGCATGACAAGCCCAGGCTATTTCTCATTCACAGGAGGTCAGTGGAAGAAAAAGCTAGCGATGCTCTTGGGCTGGGCCAGAAGGATCTGCTGCTGAGCCCGGGGCCCCAACCTCAGACAGACCCATTTCAAATCCACTGTGACTTCTGGGAGAAGTACATTTATGTATCCCCTGTCTGGGGGACTGTGTGGGCAGCCTGGAGAACAGGGGTCAGCAAATGATGGCAAACTGAAAAATGTTTTTTTTTTATACTTTCAAATGATTGAAAAAAATATATAACATTTTGTAAGACGAACCATCTGCATTCAAATTTCAGTGTGCATAAATAAAAGTTTACGGGAACACGGCGAGGTTCATTCATTTGCATACTCTGGCTGTTCTCAAGGGCCCAGTTAAGGAGTTGCTGCACACAGGGTGTGACTCACGATATTCACCATCCGGCCCTTGAGAGAAGAAGCTTACGGAGCCCTGCTCTGGAGCTGAGATGGCCTCGGCGCCAACACAGGCGGGGTGAAGCAAAGCCCTGGGGCACTGGGCCTTTCTTAGGTGGGGGATGACCTGAAGCTGCCCCGCTCCCGGCCCCCAGGTCTGCGAGACTGGAGGCCCTTCTTGTACAAATGAGCAGAGAAGAGTGAGCAGATTCTGAGCCTCAGGGACCTTCATCCTGTCTCCAGGCTGTTCTCCGACAACCCTTCTCTGTGCCCAGGGTGAGTAGGGCAGGTGGTCTTGTGAGCTCAGAGCCTGCATGTGGTGGGCTGAGGGTGGGCTGCAGCAGGGAAGGAGGAAGACCCACAGGGAAGGGCCTCCAGCCTGGGGAGGTGCCTAGACCCCCAGCAGGGGAAGGGCTGCAAGAACAGCGCAGCTGGACCCGGCACAGCGCATGTGGCCTACAGGGGACTCCTGGTGTCCGACACACCGCCCCGTGCTTGGAGAGACGCCCTCGGGTTTCAGGGCTTAGAACAGACGTCGCTGCGGCCACAGTCCAGCCAACCCATTTTACAGAAAGACTCTGAAGGCGCCCATGGGGATCCCCGGGAAGTTGCCAGAAAGGCTGGAAAGCCCCTGCTCACACTGGCAGGGGGCATCGAAGTCCTCTATGTCCCCAGGCTGGGCGTGGACGCACGGGGGCTGCAGGCTTCTCTGGCATTCCAAGCCCTTCAGCGGCCTGCGTCAGTGAGACCCTGGACCCCCAGCCCACCGCTCCTCTGGTCATGCAAGACGCCCTCTGAGACCTCCCCCTCCTCCCGACCCCTCCCATAACGCAGTTCACCCCTCCCGCGTCCCCACGCGCAGAGGCCCTGGTCCCGGGGCCGCTGAAAGGCCCTGTCCCGCTGCCCCCAGCCAGGTGCCCCCCACCCCGCAGTCCTCCTAGGACCCAGCCGGCCCTGCGAGGCCCTTTTCCCGCGGCGCCCCCTCCCCGTACCTAAGGAGCTCGCGTAGAGGTCGGTAGCTCCGCAGGCCGGGGGTCCCAGGAGCCCCGCGGCCGCGCACAGCAGCGGCAACACGACCCACATCGCGGCGGCTCGGCCCGCAGACTGGCTGCGGGCGCCCGGTAAGAAGGCCGAGGCGGAGGCGGGGGCGGGGCCCCGGGGGCGAGACTCCCGGACTCCGGGGGCGGGGCTCCGGGGACAGCCCTGCGTGCCGGGCCCGCCCGGGAATCGGACGCACCTGCCCTCCGCCGCCCGCCCCACAGCTCCTTCCTGCTGCCGTGCCAGGAAGGGGCCCGCGGCGGGCGGGGGTGCTGCGGGGGCGGTCACGGCCTGACCTCGCCATCTCCCTGCCCGCCCGGAGCCCCGGAGCTCCCCCTCTCCCTGCCCGCTACCATCCCCACCCCCGAAACCCCCCTCTCCCTGTCCGCACCCAGGGGGCATATTCACCTACAGCCTCACCTAGCAGAGTGCATGTTGTTGACCCCCCACCTTCACTCCCATTTTACAGATGGGGAAACTGAGGCTCCAGAGTGGCTGGTAACTGATGTGGGAAACAAGGGGGGCTTCCTCTGGGAGCTCAGCTGCCTCACCAGACACTCTGCTAAGGGCAAAAGGCAATCTTAGCTTAACACTATCCCAACCCCACAGGATCCTGTGAGTCTAAACAGAGAGATTCCTTTGGAAACTTCCTTTTTCTCAACCCCCCCAGGATACATGTTAGCAATCATCCCCCAAGCATATGGCCCCCTGATACACATTTTTTTTTTTAAGATTCTTTTTATTTGAGAGAGAGAGAGCAGGGGGAGTGGGAGAGGGAGAAGCCGACTCCCATGGGGCAGGGAGCCCGATGCGGGGCTCGAGCGCAGGACCCTGGGACCATGACCTGAGCCGAAGGCAGATGCTTAACCGACTGAGCCACCTAGGCGCCCCATCTAAAGGGTCTCATGACTAGAATTTCACTTGACAGTAATAAATGACCTTTTCTAACAATAGCCGGCCTCCTCAAGATCCTGGAAACCTTGCTTCCAAAATTCCTTAGAGACTTAAACTGTCCCTAACCCCTCCCAACTCGAAAGTGTATAACAGGCCACTCCTCCTGACCCCAGTACAGCTCCTTCGGCCCAGGGTCGCTGTCCCCGTGCTTTAATAAAACCACCTTTGTGCACCAAAGACGTCTCAAGAAGTCTTTCTCGGCCGTGGGCTCTGAACCCCAACATTTTCCTACATCCTTAACTTTCCTAGTAAGTGTGCAGAGGGAGTCTGAGCCCAGGTTTGATCTCCTGCAGTCTGTCATTCTGCTTTTTTGCTGCCAGAGGCATTTTGGTGAGGTCAAAGCCCTTGGGGCTGGCCTGTCTCAGCCCTCTGCCCCTCCCCCCACACCCTCCCCCTCTCCTCCCACCCTTCCTCCAGCAGAGGTTTTCTCTCCCAAAGTGCTCAGCCCAGCCCTGCCTCTGAGGCCCCAGGGGAGCAGGTTCTTGAGTCTCTCTCCTGGGATCTGAATGGTGGGTAGGGCCCAGGAATGTGCACTTAAAGGGCCTCTGGGTGATCTCTGTACAGCATGCGCACGCGACACTGACTTGGCTGGAGAACCAGCAGTCCAGACCATCTTTGCAGAGAGAGCAGATCTTTGTCAGTTTATGATTTTGCCCTTGTTTGGATGCCCCTCTGGGTGCACTTTGAGGCAAGAATCTCAGAAAATACCCTGCATTGTTATTTGCAGTTAAGTCACTGGCCTTGGGAGAAAGGGGTCCTCTCTCTGCAGGCGTTTTGTCCTTTGGGTGGGCAGGAAGCACCTCACCTTCCTGCCCATCCCAGTTGCCTGCAGTGTGGCGGGACCAAGGGCCCTAATGATCTCAGACCCCAGGCTTGCCCTGTGCTGGGTCCCTGGTGACTGTCTTTCGTTGATGACTCCAGAGGGTCTGAGCTGCAGTGTGGAAGGCACTGGCTTGGTCAGTAGAGAGTAGTGTTTGGCTCTCGTCCTACTGCAGATCTGCTGTGGGACCTAAGCAGGTGGTTCACACCATTGTAGTGACTCGCCCCAAACCTGGGCTCAGTCTTGTGCTCTCCGTCCTCGGCTACCTGCACCCATTTTCATGGTGTTTGTCTGCATGTCTGGCTCCCACTGGGCCTCACCCATGTGAGGGCTTCTCCATAGTTCTGGTCATCTGTGCTTCCACAGAGGTGGGGTTGAAGACTGGCGCTGGCTACACAGCCCTGCTGGGCCGGGGTGGTGGGCAGAAGTCTGAAGGTTCTGTCCTGGGTTATTCAACCAGGCACAATCCGGGCACTGCTGTGAAGGGACTTTGCAGGTGAAATTAAGGTTTTGAGTCAGCTGACTTTAATTGATGGTCCTGGATTATCTGAGGCCTCCAGTACAATCGCGTGGGCCCTTCAAAGCCAAAGAGGAAGGCGGAAGAGTCAGAGAGATGAGCCAGAAGGAGGGCTGAGAGCTTGAATCCCAAGAAGGGCTTTGCCCGCCATCACTGGCTTCGAAGGGGGGGCCAAGAACATGGGCGGCCTCCAGAAACAGAACGACCCCAGCCGACAGCTCTCGGGGAGGCAGGGACCTCAGTCCCACCAGCCAACAATTCTGCCACCAACCTGAATTGGCTGGGGAGCGGACTCGTTCCCAGAACCTCCAGAAGGAAGACAGTGTGGCTGACGCCTTGAATTTGGCCGTGTGAGACAGAGGGCAGAGGAGCCCGCCAGATCCGCATGGACGTCTGAACTTCAGAGCTGTGGGATCGTGTATTTGTGTCGTTTGAAGTTGACAGTAACTGTTAGGCAGCAGTGGGCCACTAGCGCACCAGGTGAAATGCTCAGGTTAACTGGCGCCTCTGGAGACAGGTGGCGGGTGAGGAGGCTGGCCCGCGTTTGCACTTCTGGGGTCTGGGAGGCTAAGAGAGGGGAGCAGCTTTTACCCTCCCCACTCAGCAGTCATTACCGCCTTCAGGGATATGACAGACCCAGTGCCAACTGCTTTTTGTGAACAAACTTTCTTAATGCTCACTATTTATCCCCATTCTACAGACAAAATGACTGAAACACATAGGCAGCTTGCCCAAGGCCACACAACCAAGTGACGGAGCTGGGGTTTGAACTGCTGGCCGACTGAATCCAGAGTTCTCCTCAAAAGTAGGCATCGGCCCTGCGGGAGCAGGTGGATGACAGCGAACCCCAGGCCTTCCTACTTTCCTGACCGGCCAGGTCTGCACTCCCGTGAGGCACCAGCAGGGGCCAGGCATCCAACCAAACCACAGCTCCTGGATTCTGGGGTGACCACCTGCATGCCTCAAGCCTCCCACTTACTGTTCTTGGGACTGCCGCCTGCCTGCCCCACCTCTGTTTATCCCTTTTTTTTTTTAGGTCACATCTGCTGCTCATCCCCAGCTGTTAGCTACAGGTTTAACTGGTTTTCCAGATCACCTGTCAGAGTCAGCCTCTTAGGAGATAAGCTGAGTCCTCGCCAGATAAATTTCTGCACCCCGCCTCTGGCATCTTGTAATAGTAGAAACTGCGTTAACAGTGTGATCTCATAGCTACCACTGACATGGATTGTGTTGTTCCATGCTCATAACAACCCCGTGAAGCTTGTTGGAGTGTACATGTACCCACTTCCCAGATAAAGAAGGTGAGGCATAGAGAAGTTTGGTAGGTGTGCTGGTAGGTGGTGGAGCTTCACCCACACCCACATGCTGATTTTGTGCGGTAGGCAGAGAGAGGTTTGGCTGAGTGATTGGGCAGATGACTGTAGAGGTGCATGTACGATGGTTGAGTGGATAGAAGGGGCCATTGCTTGCTGGCTGGAAGGATGGATGGATGGATGGATGGATGGATGGATGGATGGATCGATGGAAGGATGGATCGATGGAAGGATGGATGGATGGATGGAAGGGTGGATGGATGGAAGGGTGGATGGATGGAAGGATGGATGGATGGATGGAAGGGTGGATGGATGGAAGGGTGGATCAATAGAAGGATGGATGGATGGATGGATGGATGGATGGATGGAAGGATGGATGGATGTGGATGGAAGGATGGATGGATGGATGGATGGAAGGATGGATGGATGGATGGATGGATGGATGAGGGTGGATGGATGGATGGATGGAAGGATGGACGGATGGAAGGATGGACGGATGGATGGATGGACGGAAGGGTGGATGGACGGAAGGATGGATGGGATGGATGGAAGGGTGGATGGATGGAAGGGTGGATGGATGGAAGGGGATGGATGGATGGATGGATGGATGGATGGATCAGTGGGTGGATGGATGGACAGAAGGATGGATGGATGGAAGGGTGGATGGAAGGAAGGGGTGGATGGATGGAAGGGGTGAATGGATGGATGAAAGGATGGATGGATGGATGGAAGGATGGATGGATGGATGGACAGAAGGGTGGATCGACAGAAGGGTGGATGGATGGAAGAATGGATGGATGGAAGGGTGGATCGATGGAAGGAAGGATGGATGGATGGAAGGGTGGATCGATGAAAGGATGGATGGATGGATGGACGGGTGGATGGAAGGAAGGATGGATGGATGGAAGGGTGGATGGATGGATGGGTGGGTGGATGGATGGATGGATGGAAGGGTGGATGGACGGAAGGGGTGAATGGATGCATGGAAGGGTGGATGGATGGATGGAAGGATGGATGGATGGATGGATGGAAGGGTGGATGGATGGATGGGTGGATGGATGGATGGATGGATGATGGATGGATTGCTGGATGGAAGGAAGGGATGGATGGATAAATGGATGGACGGATGGAAGGATGAACGGATGGAAGGATGGATGGAGGATGGATGGATGGATGGATGGATGAGGGTGGATGGATGGATGGATGGAAGGATGGAAGGATGAACGGATGGAAGGATGGATGGATGGACGGAAGGGTGGATGGACGGAAGGGTGGATGGAAGGGTGGATGGATGGAAGGGTGGATCAATAGAAGGATGGATGGATGGATGGATGGATGGATGGAAGGATGAATGGATGGATGGAAGGATGGATGGATGGATGGAAGGATGGATGGATGGATCGGTGGGTGGATGGATGGACAGAAGGATGGATGGATGGAAGG